TTATGAAGGAATTAAATAAGTGGCACAGCGTACTGCATTTGATTATCTACAATTACTTGTGCAGCCATAGTTGAATCCATCTGATAATCTTGAATGTTCATATTGTACACAATTGTCCTTCATCATGGAGATCACACAGCTAGGTGGCAGTTTGTCTTTCATTTAGCACCAATCAGTTGTTGGTGCTCTTAATTTTGTTGTATTCTGTAACGTAACAATAAGGGCTTTCTAATATAATGTACTCCATACACAAAATAGGTTTCAATTCTAAAACAGGGCTTTTACAAAGGAAGATACTGCAGACACTGAGAGTCAAGTTTTATCTATTTGAAGTGTGAAGCATCCTGTCACAGAGATTAATAAAGGTGTAGTGTGTTGCACAGTATCTACCCAAAACTCACCTGGGAGGGCTTTGATGTAATCAATGAGAGCATGCAAATTAATGTTCCTTACCCAGGGTTGCGTCTAGATCTAACACAGGGCCACACTCCAGGAGCTATTCTACAAATATTCATAGTACAAAAGGGCAGATGTTGAATAATTTGTGTTAACACCAGGGTTACTCTGGCCTCTTTTATCTTCCTTCTGCTCAAATTGTTTCCTATCTTAGGGAAGCTTGTCAGTTCCCATCCATTGAGCCTTTGATCTATACCTAAAGAAGCCACGTGAAAGAATATTTTACATTAGCCCAGAATTTTGCAGTCTCACCTCAACGCAAGTCTTCATGCCTGAGGCAGCAGCATAATGCAGGCAGGTGTTTTTCTTGTTGTCAGTGGCATTGATATCAGCACTCTCATACTCTCCATGGTCCAGCTTTGCTCCGGTCCATGACAGGACAATTTGGAGACATTCTGCCCGACGCTGTTCATCTTCATATGGCCGTGAGATCCGAGGTTGCAGCGCCCCCTCTGAGGTCAGGATCTGGGGCCCCATGCAGAGAAGGTGCAGAGACGTCTCGTTGTGCACATTACGCTTGTTAGGATTGCCATCTTTGCTTAGGAGAAAAGACCTAAAAGGCACAAAAGGCAGACATAGAAAGAACTGAATGTTTTTGCTCTTTGCAATCAAGCCAACAAGCTGCAAATTTTGGTGTGGGTTAACAAAGTAACTCAGTAGGGTTTTCAATTTTTGTGCCTACACGTTTGTTTATTTTTTCACTTCGCAAGCCTATTTAAAGATGCATTGCTGTTATTTTTTACAATTTAGAAAATAACATGAAAATCTTTGTACCATCTGAAAAAGCAAAAAATAGTGGAAACATTCAATAACTAAGTATTAACCATGTATTAAATGGAGAAAGAATGGGCCCTGAGTGGAATAAAGGCATGCAAGGTTGTTAGCTTGTAAGATGGGAAACTCTTGGAACCCAATTCTATTCTGACCCAGCATGTTGCATTCCTGAGAGCTGCTAACAGATGGCTTTGTGGAGAGACAGATGGGACAGAGACATATAGAGACAAAACATGAAAAATTTTCTCTTACGATAAAGCAATACTGTAATAGCTGGAATGAGCTGATCAGCAACAGGGTGCTAAAAAATAAAACAAGTGCATAAAAGACACTTGACATTAAGCTAAAGCACAACCACTTAGTGCTAGCTGTCAACCCCTACAAATCCATGTTACCCTCAATGACAGCTGCCAATCCAAAAGTATGTGACTGAATGTGTACATTATGTATGTTTGCTTGTTTGATTATATTTGAGTCGTGTCCTGACCTGAGTAGGCGTGTCATGGCGTGCCGGGCAGCATAGTGCAGTGGAGTGTTGTGCTGGTAGGACTCTCCATATGTAGAGTTGGGATCTAGAGCCTCCTTGAACTGCGGGTTGCTCTCATAGAGTTGGCAGGCCAGCATCTCATCTCCATTGATGAGCGCCTTGCGGAACTTGGTTGCTGTGTTCCCCATTTCTTCCCCCTACTGTGCGTTCAAGCTCTGACTGACACAGCAGCCTCTTAAGACGTCTTCAACCTGTTCAAGTCCAACAAGCCAGCATAATGCATGTCCTAAAAGGAAAAAAGAAAAAAAAAACATGAGTTAAATTCCTTTAAAGCTGGGTCTGTGTCCAACAAGGCCTTGCTAGCTGGGAATAATCATGACGCTTGTTAGTCATTAAAAAACTCAAAATTCTCCAAATAAGCCAAAAATATTTTCACCAATGTTTTAAGAAAGGCAGCCCTGTCTCTTTGAGCATTAATGACTTCCACTCCCTCTGATTCACAAGGACAAGAATTCCATCTTCAAGGTTGCTCAGGCTGCTCTGCCACAAGCGCCTGTGTCAGCATCACCACTGCCCTGTAAACCACCTCCCAGTGTTTCTCTTTTTATTTTTTGTTTTGAATAACTAAACATAGTGAGAACAAAGCTCACACAGAGAGGAGGACAAGACTTCCTCTGGCATCACCAGGAGCTTCCGCTGCTTTGTGCCAATGTTGCCCATCCCACTGAGGCCAGGACTCATTATGAAGCAAGATAACCTCAGTTGAAGAATAACATGCAGCGAGTCAGCATTCTGCTTCCACCAGAGCACCATATGGTCATGACTGTTAGGGCAATGTGATGCTTTTATGTATTTTTGGTGAGCTGCAGCACAAATCTACAGAACACAGCATCATCTCCTTCTGTACAATATGTATTCTATCTCATGATACTTAAAGTCTCTCCACCTTGCTTTGTACACAACATAGGATTAGTGTTTACAAGTTACGCGCAAAATAGAAGCAAAGAATACTCCATGAAAACCTTTAGGGTGTACACAGTAAATAGCCAACTCAAAATAGTTTAGAGAGTGTGACAAAGCATGAAAAGTGAAATTTAATATTCCATTTGCAATACAATTTACACATTTCCACAGTTTAGGTGAAAAGAGTCAAGACTGTGAATAGGTCCAATGCATTGGCCTAATCAGCCGATCTTTACAGAAAATATGAATGGACAAGGAGGGAATTGCATGTAATCTTAATAATCATTGGTAATTATCCAGGAAAATGTATTACTCACTGTGACTCGAGGAATTTCCAAAGCTTTTAGGTGCTCACTTATGGAAGCAGATAGCGATCTAGACATAATTTCACACTGTCATGTTTTCTTTAGAAAGACTGATGGAATGGAGGTGTGTGGAAGAGAGGTGGGGTAAGAGAAGGGCAGGACTTTGTCTCCTTCTCTACGTCTCTAATAGGCCAATTATCATGGATGCTCTATCCTCTATTAAGTCCTTTAGTAATTAGAGCCTCTGTACTTACATAGTTATAATGTACTGACAGTTTCAAGACCGGACATCATCTCCTTCCCCATACATTTTCTAACAAAACACTTACAAAATAAACAATGCATCGTGTAAACAGTGCAGCCAGTGACCCAAGTTAACTTGCCTTGCATCAAAAAAATGTGTGTCAAGTTTGTGCCATGTGAGGGCAGCTCCGACCAAAAAACACACACAATCAGAGGGCAACAAAAACAATGTCCCACCTTGGTGAGCAGTTCTAAACATCCGATCTTTGAACAGTTATATAACCTCATAGATGGTGGTATTCTCCAAATGTTTAACTAATTAACCTATCTGACAATAGTTAACGACACTCCCCCATAACAGCGCCAACCAACCACATCTAACTGTAGCTACATAACAATAACAGCTAGCTTTAACAATGGAAAATAAAACAACAGTTTGTCTGCGTAGCTGCCACTTGTCACTAAACTCCTCCATGCAGGCCTTTCCCCATGTCGTGTGGTGTTTACCATTTTCGCTAGCTCAAACCAACGGCAGCTTGTTATGCTGTGTTAATGAGCGGTCCTCGATAACGCTTTTCTTATATTCCTGGTTAATAAAACAGCATTCACCAGTCACTGACCTTAGACAATGTTAGCTGCAAACCATTCCGTTTGTTGACAGTGCCAGTGTTAACCACAAAGCACAACGTTGCTTGCTAGCTATATGTTATTCAAAAACAAAAAAAAAAACATCATGACGCTAGCATCTGCGTTGACGAACGTCAGCGCATACGCTAGCGGGTGAGCTAGCAAGCTAATAGCCGCTGCTAGCCAACTTAACGCTAGCTAGCACAGTTGGTAAACTCAGTAAACAGTGAGTAACAAGTATTCCGACTTACACAGACGGCACATCTCGCTACTGGAGAGCTGGACTTGTGAGTTAAGTATCAGTGGCAAGAGCAAAAAACAGCCGCTTTTCTCGTTAAGTGAGGCAATCCTTATCTATAAATAATGTGTGCTCGGAGCGGGGATGTTGCCCCTGTCAACTCTCCGTTCACTCTGCTGGCTGCCCGTCGGGTTGCCAGGTTTCAGTACAACCCCCAAAACAGGCGGAGAAGGATATTGCTTCTTTTTTTTCAACCTGTAAGCGATGGCTTTTGATTGAACACACTGTTAGAGCATAAACCAACTCCACTGACACAGATATTAATCAACTTTAGACTGGATATGCAGTAGCCAACCAAGTGCATGTTTTGTTTTCCTTGGAAACATTTGTTTTTTTTGGCCTAGTATTTATCCCAAAGGCCAAGCATCAGAATATTATAGAAATATAGGACACATAAACCCATCCTACCTGGTGTTTGTCAAGCCTGGGATTATATGGACAGGAAATAAATATTATTATAAGTTTATAAACTCTTCACTTTTCAGCTTTATACTTTTATGTTGTAACCAATCAGATAAAACAGACTGAATATGTAAGATGCACTCCATCCCAACTCAACAGGCTTTTGCAGTGGTTGATTTGTTACAGCTTCAAGTGCAATAACAAAAGACGGCCACTAGAGTGCGACAAAGTCCACGCAAAACAAACATGCATGACGTTGTTCTTAACGTCAAAGAACCAGTCTAACCAAATCCATGAGCATTATAGACAACTTTTTGAGAAATGATAGTTTTTAACTGTTGCATTCACATGTCAAGCTAAAATATTAAATGCACCAATAGCCCATGATATGTACAGTAGGTGTGTAGATGTCTTAGTATACTTACTAAAAACAACCACTTCGATGCACAATAGAACACATATGCCTTTTTATTATCAAATATCTGAACTTTGCAATGAAGGTATATACAGCATCTTGTTCTCACATTTAAGTGTGCACACATTTTCATATGAACAGGCCTTAAATAAATAATCTGTAAACACATAATCTCAGTGTAAAGGCAAATGTATGCAACAACAAAACATACTGATTAAAAAAAGTGACTTAAAAAATGCTTTGGCACTTTCAAAATTCCAAATACATCGTCACATAAATTGGAGTGTTTAAAAAATATGTACTCCAGAAAAACAGACAGACTTTAAAAAGACAAAAAAAAGCCTAGTAATGCTTATTCATGAGGTGCTACATGCATCTCGTGAATTTTATTCGTTTTTCAGATTTTTCCTGTCACCACACACACCCAAAGCAAATTAATGCTGCTCACATAACATAAAAGCAAAAATATTTTTATTCAATATGGCAGATGGAGAATAAACAAAACAGGACTCTTGTTTTCAGGAACAAAGTATTCAAGGATTTGTGTAAAAGGAATAGTAAGCTGCCATGCCTTTGGACGGGAGAGCTTCTTTGCTGTAGGAGCTATTGTTGGTGGTAACGGAGGCTAAGTCCTCACACTTTGTGTTGCTTTGTGAGTCTTCTGTGCTTGGACCATTCAGAGACAACCGCCTCCGCTTGCAGGTCAAATAGGAATCAGCCTTGTCTAAGGAAAGAGCTGCCGCCTGTGACTCTGTCCAGGAGGTGATCAGGGCTCCACTGCCGTTCACCTCCTCTTCTATCTGGGCTTTAACTTTGTCTGAGTCTTCTTGGAAAGCAGTGGTGGGACTTGGCCTGGGAGACCACGGCAGACCGTGGGTGACCTTTCTCTGATATGCTGCTCTGGACCCCCATCCTGCAGACATGGTGGTGAAAGGAGAGTCTGGGTAGTAGCTGAGAGCATGTGATGTTTGCATTGACAGTGATTTGATACCGTAAGGAAGCAGGGAACTTGAATACTCTCCGTCATAGGGCGTCAGATCTAGCTTGTTGCTGGCACTGGTGCCATTTCCTCCCTGCTGCATAGAGGCGACAAGCCACCTCTGCGAAGCCCCGTCTTCAGTCTGAGATGAGAGGAGGCTGTTGGTCTGTGGCACAGCTCTCTCACTGTTGTAGAAGCGATTCTGGGGAAGGTTGTTGACAAACTGGTCCTGGAAGATGGGCTGCATTGTGTAGCGGGTGCCGGGGACGATCTGGTGGGCACGGGTAGAGTCAGTAGGGGACGGGGTGAGGCGGTCACCCTCTGGAGCCGTATACATCCTAAAAAAAAATACATTAACTTGTGAACATGAGATCAGGATAAGTGCAGTGTGTAGGGAAAGATTTTTCAAAATGAGGTGAAGAAAGTGATCCGTATTCTCAGTTTATAAGTAGTGTAAAATGAATGAATGTCATGCAGTACTCACGAATCGTAATTATCTCTAAATCCTTTGGCGAAAGGGTTGTGGTCAATTTTCAGCTGTGTGATCTAAAACAAAACAGACAAATTAGCTGCATTTGGTTTGAGTGAGAGAGCTCAAACGTGTCTATAGACCACATATGTGTCAACCTACACAAGGAAATTGTAGCTCATTAGAAATTGTGATGCATCCAACTGACTGAGTTACAATGAATTGAAATTACAAATTGATCAAACAAGATGTTAAACAAAAAGTTTTGGCCTGAGGCTGCTAAAAAAAAAAACCCAGCAGCCTGCAGCTTTAAATCCATATCATGCATGGCAGGGGAGGGATTTGTCTCACTCACATCGGTGTTCTGGTAGGCAGTGACCGCTATGAACTGGGTCTCTGGAAAAGTGAAGCACTGAGTCTTCAAGTCACTGTTGATGTCCTCCACCCCGTCCTCCGTCACCTCCACGATGTGCAGCCTCGGCTGGTACTTATGCAGAGACTGTAAAACTATCATCTGCACACGAAAAGGGCACAAACAAAATAATAACAATAAAAAATAAAAATCGTTCATTTTCAAAATAAAGCCCCAAATGACGTCCAAATTTTCGTCTAAGTCGTACAATAAAATGAATTAAAAATAAAATTCTGCGTGTGGTTTGGCCTGTTTGCGCACACTTCACACTTCCACCATCGAAAAACGCGTCTTGAATTTACGATGATGTAATTAATTTAATTTGATGATTGCATCCTTTGTGTGTGCACCCGGAAGCGCGTAAATTAATTCCCTTACAAAAAAAAACAAAAAACAAAAATAAATTAAACTATAGCCAGTTAATAATCTTATTTTACCAAGAAGCGAAAATCGTAAATATATGTTACTACACATAATTATAATGAAAACAAGCATTTCATCAAAGTTCAATACAATTATTTTTGACACAGTATTTAAACACAACTGCTTCGAATCTTCTCTAAATCTTAGTTCAGTCGTACCTGGGAAGTGTTGTGGCTGGTCCCTTTGTTGTTGGTGAGCTTGAGTTTGCTGAAGGAGATTTCTTGTCTCATCCAGTGGGCCCCTGTGTTTGGGGACTCTGGATGGATGTAGACTTTATTGCCTAAAATACAGATCTTACAACATTAAAACTCCTTAAATGCAACCTAAACACAGGCTGGGCTGTCCACTGGAGAGAGAAAAAGAGTTCAAACTGCACAGTAACAAACTTTTACAGAAGTTATTTAGCATGTAAAATGAATCTATGAAGATAGTTTTAACAGAAAGGCTGTCTTTTTTAAATTATATTTCTTTTTCTATTTGAAGGAGAAATAATTTGACAGTGTTTTAAATCTTTTTTTTTTTTTTTGAATGTTAAAAATGTCAATATCGACCTGGGTCAGTACCTTGGCTGCTGTTGTCCGCCTTCCCACAGGTGACCCACTTTCCTCCCTGGAACCTCCAGTGGTTTGGATCGGCCAGAACCACCTCCACAAACACGTTGTAGTGCGCAGTCACACTGAGGCCAGCGATGTTAAAACTGAGGAAAGGGAACATGCGTCTGCAAGCACAGAGCAATCAGTATTTAAAAAATAAAAAATCACACAGGTGAACTGAGGTTAAGAATATTTCTTTCCCAGTGACAATCAAACAAAAACTCGTTGCTGCCACCTCACCTGCCCTGCTTGGTGATGATCATCTCGGTCTGGTGCCGGTGGAACTTGAGCCACAGCGGTCGGTTGCAGAGGTAGACTTGGGCCCTCATCCCCGGGCCGCCGGTGGGGAGGGCCATGTTGCCGAGAGCAGACCCGGAGCCGGTGTACGGAGGGTAGAGGGCACAGCCGGCGCTCTGTCCGAGCTGGTAAGCCGGGCTGAAGTGACTGCGGCCGGCCGTTGAGGGGGAAAATCCCGCCGGAGGCAACACGGAGCCCAGGTGGAGAGACGAGGGATACCTGGCAGCGCTGGACGGAGTGTAAACCGTCCCACCGGGAGTGTACGGGATGAAAGAACAGGCTGTTTCTGGGTTCTGCTTGGAAATCGTGGACGGGATGTAGTAGCGGTCAGAAGCCATCCCGTGCTCCGTGAACCTGTTGCTGGCAGCCGGATCGTCCACATCCACAGCCGGAGACTTGCGCCTCTCATCCGCTGCGTCTTTTGAAGAAGCGTATGTGTTGCTTTCTCCTTCTCCGCCGAGCATTGTTTTTTTTTTTCTTTTCTCGCCTTCACTCGGTTTTGGAACAAGCGCAGTTTTGCTTTCTTTGATTTGCTCTTTTTCGAGGAAATCCTCAACAACAAGAGGCACAAAAATATCTTTTTATATCTGAGGAAAAAAAAAAAAAAAAAAAAAGCTTCTTCTGCAAGTGTCCACTGGAGTCTGAGGTTGTGGAGACAGAAACAGATGGTGAAGAGCAGCTTTTCTACGCTTTGGAGGCCTCATGCAAATGCAAAGCCATTAGTTCACAAAAGCAATCAGATAGTTGCGGGAAGTGATCGTCTTTATGGGCGTATCAGGGTGTGGCTCTAATGGCAACTTATGCTTTTGAATAAAGTCTCTTGAAAAACAAGAGTCTTCTTTACCATATGTAGAGCTTCTCCTTTTCTTTCCCTCCCCATATGTTTTACAATGCTTATTGGGAAGAAATACGCTCATCCATCAAATGCAATGTGCAACATATAATTCTACTAATTGTGCTTTTTAAATCCAAATTCAATGTGATCCAACTCAATGCAAAATAAAATATTAAATCAGTGGCCAAATTCTGTCATGAATTAAAAATAAACCACCCTTAAGGATCTTTAGTTAATTTGGACATTATTGCAGGGGGTTGGGTTGAGACAAGAGCCAGTTTCTTGTAAATCATATGACAAACACGAAGTAATGCACAGATTTTTGGGGGTTGCTGTGTGGTGTAAAACTAAAGTGAAAATACTCGCCCACGATCCGTGCAATACGTGGCATATTTAGTATCAAAGGAAAATTCCAAGTGTTTACACCAGAGTCTGTTTCGATGAAGAGTGTTAATTTCATTACTTTTTTTTTGCCACTTAAAAAAAACAAAAAACAAAAAAAAACATTTGTACGTGAAATTCTAACAAATCTAATAAAACATTTACCCCCCTTTGCTTAGCAATGTATTTATTTATTGGTTATAAAAGTGTTTAAATAAAATCGTTGGAACATCTACTTTCTTAGTCATAGGTAATCCTATTATTATTATTATCATCAGCCAGAGTTATTCAATTTGCATTCATTCAATTCTGATGCGGTTCTGAGTCCCAACGGGATAGCCGACGTGAAAAGGGGGAAATAACCAATTATTTTTCCGTTTGAAGAAACCTGTGATGCTTCTAGGATCAGACAGTCAGATTTAAGGAACGAGAGCAAGCGAATTTAAACGACTCTAGTGAGAAAAAGCAAAAAATTAAAATTAAAAAACCAACCTCTCTCTCTCTATATATATAGACAAATAAATTAATTTCCTGTATATTAAATATAAAGTTTTATTTTATGACAAAAAAACGCTATCGCACTGGTAAATGAAAATGTAATACATAAAAGTTTGCAGATTTTATTATCGCATGTAAAAATGTTTTTTAAAAAAACGTAAACTTACCAAGCAACTGAGGCTCCTGGTTCCGCTTGTAAATTCAGATTATAGACGCACGCACACAAGCACAAAAATATGTCAAAACTATCTTATAAGCGCAGAAAAGCCTGCGATGCTGAGCCCATTGCAGAAAGTGACATCATGTTGTGTTTGGGGTCGAGGCAGTAAAATAAAGCCTGAGCCATGTGGAGGCGGACTGATCACCGTGTAGAGGCGCAGTCCCGCTTTCACCAGAGCGCTCTCCGTGTGGCCATGACGCACAGAGCGCAGCCTATTATCAGGTTCCCCTCCGATTACCCGGGGAGGGGCAGGGGATCCTTAGCATCTCAGGGGTATATCAAAACCATCCAGGAGCCGTTTCCATCTCACCATCTTCACATCTACTAGTCAGGGCTTGAAGCGTATCTGCTTGGGTCAATAGTGCTGGATTTGTGGTGGCCTCCTTGTGTTTTAGATCCAACAGGCGTCATATTTAAAAACTTTGCAGAACACTGGAACACAAAGAGAACAACACATTACCAGATTTCTGGAAGGTGCAGTTTTGAGATTTATTTTTTTTTAATGCTAACACTCTTGGAAAATCAGAAAATGTATAACTTCAACAATATAAAAGCTGCTAATTTGAATTTTAACCAGAGCTCTAAAGCCCATGCTTCTACCAGTAATAATGTACAAAATGTGTCAGACGGTAGAACCTGCCAAGTATTAACCTCTAATAAAGAGTTTTCCCTGAATAGTTGCACAGATGTAACTCTATGAATCAGAGGAAGGTCTCTCACTGTTGTTGTGGTTAAAGACCAGTGCAGGTAATCAAAGTGATCCCTCTTTTCTGGTGATAATGTGGCTGAAGAGTGAGGAGGGCCTTAACTACAAGAGCAGAGGCTGGATTTAGCCACAATTAAGGGACAAAAAAAAAGAAACTGAGAACAATGTGTTTTTCTTCTCTAACTAAAACAAAGAATGCTTTTATTTTAAATGTCTGCCAGAGAAAATAATCATGAAATACTGAAATCCGCACACAACGCACTACCTGACTGTCTTTGGGGTAGTTCTCCCCAATAGAAATATACAGTGCTGATGATATTTTTAAGTTTGTCAATCAAATGCAAAGGATTCCCAGACAGTTTCTGATTTTCACTGAGACTCGTCTAGCCGTTCCTCGTTGACCTTTTTCTCTAGTTCAAAGGAAACCGAACCCAGACATTGAATCACGGTGCATTGCTGTGTTAATGGCACACCTTTCACCAGCCTAACGACCCAGTCCCCTCCCAAACCAGACGATGCTCTGCTGCTTGTGCTTGGGGAGAAGTTTACATGATAAAGGCAGTGAGAAGATTGGTAAAGCAGGCCCCCACCTCTGAGATAAACACACTGCACATCAAACAAGACAAATCAAAACTATTTGCCCAGCAAACAGTCTAAAGCTAATACACTTCTGCTGATTGCTCTGATAAACTGACTGAGCTGTTTGGATGTTGCAGGAACTCATGAATATAGAGTAAAAATTCACAGACCTCGGCGTGCACGTGAGAGTTTTGGAGATCCTAAATTTACTTTGAAGTAGAAGTATTTTCCCCTGCTTGTCTGTTCTCCCCTTTGTCAACTCTCTTTGTAACTTTCTCTTTCTTTATTTAGCAATCTATCCATCAAACGCACGATCATGTGCTTCTGTGGTAAAGACCTATGAGTCAGAAGTGAGAATGCAGAGTCTCGAAATGTTTTCTAATGAACTTTCGATACAAGGCTGAATTTGTCCCAGGAGTGCAGGGGTTTGCACACTCACTTACACATGAAGACGTGTGAAAATCTGCTGCATCCACCCACCCTCCAAAACTTGGATGTTTAACTTGTGAAGATTGATGTCTAGTTAAACTCAAACTCATTCAGTTTTGATTTAAAGTTAATTTTTGCATGAACAACTAGTTTTTTCTGGCTTAAAACGACATGAACCAGTGACAAAAGATGGTATGACATTGTGTTAGAGAAGCTAATGATTTTCTTTTAATTATTTTTTTTACGTTTACTAAAAATGTTATGTCCATAATCATTCTTTATCCTTCAAAATTGTGGGCACTTTTTGAGAAAGTGTAAGCCTTTATACCATTCAATTAATCATCCTGGTAATTTCTAACATGTTCTACAGCATTTTAATACGCAATACATTTAAATAAAAGCTCATGTAGTTGTGCTCTAGTCAGTTTCTAGTCATTCTAAAGTTGTGGCTTGAACCAAATAGCTTTGTGAACTTCCTATCATGTCCATTGCTGCAACAGAGTTGGGCATTGTAGCTGCTCATAAGAATAGAAGAAGGCTTATGAAGTCACATTCAAGTGTTTTTGAGTGCCAGTGTAAAGCATCATCAGAAAGGACAGGAGTTCCACACTGTAAAAGATCTCAAAGGTCATGTAAGAAGCTAAATGTGACCCCTGCGCTGGCAAGAATGGCAATGCAAGAGGCAAAGAACAATCTAGGGATCACAACAAAGACCATCCTGATCAATCTGATATCAACATCTCACAGCAGACACTAAACGAGGCCCCATGGACGCCAACAAAGCAGGAGTTTTTTTTTCTTTGCAAAGGCTCACCTGGACCTTCCAACAAGAAACAACAAGGCAGTGATCTGAAACATACAGCCAAAGTGATTGAAACAAAACAATATCATCATCTTGTTCTGACTCAAACAGACTGTAAGCTGGACTCCATCGATAATCTAGGGAGGGAAGTGAAGACCAGAGTGAAGGTTGCTTAGGCCACTTAGGATGACCAAAAATTATTTCTATTCGCTAAATGCCAGAATAACAAGAGAGAGAATATTTGGAGAATTTTGTATTACTTTCTTCAAAGTCAGAAGTTTACATAAACTAAGATTACTATGCCTTCAAACTATTTGGGAAGGTCCAGATGATTATGTCATGGCTTTGGAAGCTTTTGATAGGTTCATTGACAACATCTGAGTTAATTAGAGACACACCTGTGGATGTATTTTAAGGCACATCTCAAACACACTGCTCTCTTTTGTGACAACATGGAAAATCTAATCAAGGAAGAGAATTGTGGACCTCTGCAAGTCTGGTTCATCCTTCAGTACAATTTCCAGATACCTGAAAGTCCCATGTTCATCTGTTCAAACAATTACACGCAAGTATAAACACCAGCCATCATATCACTCAGGAATGAGACGGGTTCTGTGTCCCAGAGATGAACATGTTTTAGTGTGAAATGTGCGTATCAACCCCAGAACAAAATCAAAAGACCTGTGAAGATGCTGCTGGAGCTGGTAGGAGAGTGTCATTATCCACAGTGAAAAGAGTCCTGTACCAACATGGGCTGAAAGGCTACTCAGAGAGGAAGAAGACATTACTCCAAAAGGAACAAAAAAGCCAGTTTGCAAATGTGCACAGAGTCAAAGACCTTAATTTTTGGACACAAAATTGACATGTTTGGCTATAATCTTTACATTTGGAGAAAAAGGGGGAAGCTTGGAAGCCTGAGAACACCGTTCCAACTGTGAAGTACGGAGGTGGAAGCATCATGTTGTGGGGGTGTTTTGCTGCAGGAGGGACTGATGCACAAAATAGATGGCATCATGAGGAAAGAAGATTATGTGGAAATATTGAAGCAACATCTCAAGACATCAGCCAGGAAGTTAAAGCTTGGGAGCAAATGGATCTTCCAAATGGACAATGACCCGAAGCATACCACCAAATTAGTTACAAAGTGGCTTCAGGACAACAAAGTAAATGTTTTGGAGTGGCCATCACAAAGCCCTGATCTCAATCCTTTAGAAAACTTGTGGGCAAAGCTGAACAAGCGTGTGGAGCAAGGCAGCTTACAAACCTGACTCAGTTCCACCAGTTCTGTCAGGAGGAATGGGCCAGAATTCATCAAACTATTGTGAGAATCTTGTGGAAGGAAACCCAAAACATTTGACCCAAGTCATGCAGTTTAAAGGCAATACTACACAATACTAAGGAAATGTATGTAAACTTCTGACTTTGAAGAAAGTAATAAAAAAAAATCTCTCACTATTCTGGCGTTTAGCAAATAGAAATAATTTTGGTAATTCTAACTGACCTAAAACAGGAAAAGTTCAGTTTGATTTAATGTCAGACAGTCAGAAAAATAAAGTTGTGTCATTTTAACCAGTGCATGTAAACTTCTGATTTCAACTGTGTGTCATTTGTCGCATTTTCATGCAATTATTAGGCACAAGAAATCTATTGGTAAAGAAAAAAATCCCTCTAAATTAGAATTTGGCATAGGTAAGGCTCAACTGTATGTGCAGAAGCTGTTTTTACATCCATCTGCAGAAGGGTAAATATTTCTCTGGGATTAAATTTAGATATGAATTTAACGTGTGAGTATGATTTTGTAAGTCGGAGACAATCATGTTCCAATATGTGTGAAAAGGTGTGATGTGGACGTTTCAGAATTTAGTGAAAATAGCAAATCTAACGTACATTTTTATTCAACGTAGAGTATTAATATTTCTTAAACTGTCTTAAATCCTGCTTCAAGTAAATCTTTAAATGTAATACTTTTCATATGTTTATATATATTATTGTAGTTAATAACATACAATTCACTACATAATACCAATAATGCCGTTTGGCTGCTATATGTTTATTGGGCAGCCAGTCTGTGGAATGGCCTCTCTCCTCTCTCTGCCACGCTCAATGAACAGCTTCCCCTAGCTGTGCCTCCTTTTTGACACGTCTAAAGGGCTGTTTCTGACATGTTGCCATCCTGCTGGTCACCCCTCCCGCAGCGCTCATGCCAGGCAGGAGGAAAAAGCTGGTGACCTGGCCATCGCTGCCCTGCCCTAGGCCACTGCCACCCTGCTGGCAGCAGAAGGTCTGTTGGTCTGAAGCCATGCCAGGAACTCTGCCCACCGCAGCTTGTGATGTCACGACAAACACGCTCTCAGAAGGCAGATCTGATTGGCTCAGAGGGTTTGCCTTTCTCGCTTCCTGGGAAATGCCCTCTCAACAACTTACAGACATACAAATTGAATTAATTATCACTTTAATTTAATGTGATCTCAGCTTTCTGTCCCCCATAGCTGATCAGCTGTCTTCACAGATCATACAGGAG